TTTAAAATAAATGTGTATTAAATGAATGCATGAAGCAAGTGAGGCAGTGGCGTGTTGAGCTATGTAATAAGCACCACTTCTACTCTGCATACGCCATCGGTTTTCTGAGCACACAGGCATCTGGACAAGACAGGTCTCTAATCGCCCTGCATTGCTGAATGCGATCCCTTATTGCCTGCATTCAAACTAAATATCTGAAATGCCTAAAACTCACAGGAAATATGGTGGGTATGCCAAGTCCCCCTCTTCCAAAAATTGAAAGCAAGATACATTCTCAAGCAATACGAGGAAAAAATACTCCATTTTTACCATATTCAAAGGAAAATTGGGATGATATTCTGATTCATAATTCAGTTAATATCTGAAATACAACTATAATGTTTTGACAATTGCCTTTGTTCTTGCTGTCTCATTCTGACATTCTACTAAAATGAAGCAAACTGGATGTTGAATTGTTTTCATATATCAAATTTTAAACACTCAGCCACTCTATGAAATTGTGAATTGAACATTCTGCTAACATAATTTTCAAGTACTGTTTTTTGTCTCTTTATCCAGTATGTCTCCTTCTGCCTCCATTCCATAGCTACTGCTTCTTGGTTTATTCCTAAGTCCTTTTATTCCCTTCACATGGCGGGTGGGTCTGTCTTACAGGATAAGCTGAATATAACTGCTTCATGAATCTGTATTTCACCGTGCCCAACCTATGCTTCAGATGGCCAAAAACAGATGTACTCACATGTGGTTTTAATCTATTCCATGCTGCTCTATTTCTAAATAATAACTACCATTTCACAGGTGAGAAAAACCCACAAATACAGTAAGATAAAATAAGCCCAAAATAAGCATCTGGGCATTTATGATAGTAAAATATTTTTCTATCCAGGGAAAAAATTCTTGATAAGCTCAGTAATACTGCGGCAACGCGAAAGCCGCCGTGCAGGTGATCAGAATTCAGAATCAGCCTGTAGCTCAGGCTCTGGGCTTATGAGACTGGGTGTGCAGCAAAGAAAACGACATCAGTCTCTGGGGACAAGCTTCTGTGGACTGTCGCTGGCGCTGGTTATGGAGAAGGCAAGGCACAATTTCCAGAATAAAAATAACACAGAGACCTGCCAGCTGACCAGAGAAAGGACTCAGCGATAAGAGAGAAGGCGGACCCTGTTCCTCCCTAGGGAGCGAAGCCCCTGTGAGAAGATGACAGTGGCTTTAAAATTCTTAGAAAATTCGTTAAAGAATAAGTTATTTTTTAAAAGAAATGGATATAAATTATGAAATGAAGACAAAGTCCTCCTGAACATATGTTGGGGAAAAAAAAGATAAAAGTTTTCCAGGAAGCCAGCTGGAATCAACAACACATTCAAAAACAAAATCAAAAACAATATCGGAAGTTCTCTAGGCATATCAAGTATCTTATTTGTGGATGACAAAAATAAAAAAATTAAACACCATATCAAGAGAGATTTTTTCCCCCAAAATGGAAAACATAAATTCAATTTTCTGGCTTTTTGTTCATGTAAATTAATTAAGCTGAAACAATAAATTCAACTTTTAGTTTTGTAGCCATTTTAGGTTTCATTATTTAAATACAAACACAAACCACATATCTATGAGCACTGCCATAAAAGCTAAAAATAAATGGGATTATTCATGATATGCTTTGTAAAATTATTAATATAAAATAAACTCAAATATAAAATCTGCCTTCATGTTTTAAAAAATTCCTCAATGATCCTTCTAATTCAATTTCTACATTTTTTATTCTGAGAGATATATTGCTGTCTACTAGTCTCATAGAATGAATGCCAATTTCTATTTCTGTTCCAGTGGAAGCAGAGCACTGGGAGAGGTATTTTATTTATTTACTTTCAAAATGGATTGGCAGATTTTAGATACCTATTCTAAAAAGACAGTGTTATTTTGTTAAGGTATTCAAATTTTCTTATTATCTTTAAACCAAATCACACAAGAGAATCACCGTTAAAATCAAGCATGATATTTCTTAAACTATCTAACCTGGAACAGAGTTTGATAAGAATAAACTATTTCCCTGAACAACACTACATTTTGGTAGTAACAGACTATAATGATATCAAGTTCATGATCTTGGTTTTAAAAATTATAAACTAGCTTTTTAAGACTGCCCTTACTTATGAATTCTTTACTGCTCTTTGAAGGAAAAAAACACACTTAATACCTAAACTTAAACTGAAGCTGGTTTTCTCATTTGATGTACATGAAAAAAGACTTAATAGATATTTAGTAACACGCCATGCCATATTATTTCTTGAGTGTCTTCTATAACTAGGCATGTGCTGGATTTTACAGATACATCACATCATTTAACCTCATGAGCACCACAGAATGTAGTGGCAGAGTGGTGGTTTAAATCCAGACCTCATGCCAAAACCCCTGGTTTTTCCACCTGCCATGCTGCTTCTTATAAATCACAATTTCACAAAATCTTAAGGTTCCCAGACTAGATAAATCATACATAATTTTTTCTATCATTTAACTTTTGATTCTTCCTCCCTACAGAATCAGCTAAAGAGAATTAAGGGAAAATTGATTGAGAATATGTTCAGAAAAAGAATACAGAATAAAAGTGAACTTTATATAATAATCCATTTAGCAAACTAGAAGATGGACATAAAACTGAGATATCCTGGCTAAAACTGATAGACCAAGGAAATTCTACAGTTAATCCTATAATAATGTGTGCAAATTCTTCGTATTTATTTCAGTATCAGTTAGAGGTTTGCTTCTTAGAAAAGTCATATAACAAATTATATCTACTGTTGTTTGTAGCCTGTATTTTCTCTGATAAAAACCATAGGCACTTACCATGAAAAATGATTTGACTACCTATCATTCCTAGGATCCAGTATGTAGGAGGCTTTTAAAAAAAAATGGCCAAAAAAAATTAAATACATTAGGAATAAAAGAGCCTAGCACAGCAGTGTGTGCCTGTAATCTCAGCAACTCAGAGGCTGAGGCAGAAGGATGGTAAGTGCAAGGCCAGCCTTAGCAACGTAGAGAGACCCTGTCTCAAAATAAAAAAGATTAAAAAGACTAGAGATGTAGATCAAGGGTAGTGGAACCCTGGGTTCAATCCCTAGTACCAAATAAATAAATGAATGTCCTTCAGCTACTTTTTTTGTACTTAACTTTTAATTCTGAAGTAATTATAGATTCTCACCAAATTACAAAAAAGTACTACAGAGAGATTCTCACGTGCCCTTTATCTGGTGTCCCCAAATGGTAACATCTCACATCACCATGGTACAAAACCAGGACACTGACATCATATAACCCCAGACCTCACCCAAATTCCTCCTAGAGTTACTCTTCTAAGTGCAGTTTTCCTGGTGCTAGAAATGTCCTCAGATCCTCTTCACTTTTCATGATGAGAATACGAGAGTGGAGAGGAGGAAAGACTGCCTAAGTCAGAGTGCTGGAAAGCAGCGAACAAAACCAAGTTTGAGAAGGCATCTTTCTTAAGAGATAGAGCATGCATCTGGATCAGAATCATTTTCCAGAATCCCACGAGGCATTCAGTAAGAACCTTCAAAATATTATTAAAGACCCTTGAAACAGTTCTAATATTTCAAAGTTATCTCGTGAAATGGATGCATATTTTTGTACACATTATTTTTCATCTCTCCAGAAGCCCCAAAGCATTCCTTATTTTTTTTTTTAAAAAAAGGACCCCTACTGGTCTTTTAAAAATATTTAAACATATTACTGCAGCAGTAATATGATAAACCAAACTCAAAGGGAAACTAACTGGCTTGTCACCACTTGCCACCTTTGCCACCTTTGTCCTTAGTACAAAGCTCTACATTTGGCACAAAGCAGGCTCTTAAAGGCCACGTGAATGAAAGAATGAATGAACGAACTAACTAACAAATAAGTGGGGTTACCAATATACTAAACACTCCAAATTTCTTTGGGAGGAAAAAAAAATAACTTGCAGCTGGGGGTGCAGTGGCACATGCCTGTAATCCTAGTGACCTGGGAGGCTGAGACAGGGGAATTGCAAGTTCAAGGCCAGCCTGGGCAACCTAGCCAGACCTGTCTCAAAATAATAAAAGGGCTGGAGGGATAGTTTGGTGGTAGAGTGCCCCAGAGCTCCAACCCCAGTACTACCAAAAACATACAAAAAATCTTGGTTGTCACTTTTTAGCAAACTGCGATTTTTGTGAAAAATGTTTTATTTTATTTTGTGGAGTAGTTTTCACAGAATCAGAAGAAGGGCCTTTATAGAACATGTAGTCTGGTAAATCCCAACAAAGGTACATGCTGCACCTGACAATAAAAAGAACCCACCACGTCCTATCCCACATTTGGGGTGGGGCTGGCATCTGCTTTTTATTGCTGAAACTCCCAGGTGATATAAGGTCCTATAGCATAAAGGTGAAGAAATAGGTCTGGTCAAGCTGAATGTTTTTTCAAGATACTACGGCTGGTCAGTACCAGAATTGAGACCAGAGGCCAAGCAGGAATACTACTACTTTTTAAACATAATATGTTAAAAAAAAATTAATTATGAAACTTATTTTAATTGTAAAAACTGTTGGCCATCTTTTAAAAATTTACAACTAGGCAGAATTTTTTTAAAAAAAAAAAACCTATCAAGACTTGACTCTTACTGGTTTACAGTCACTAGCATAAGTGGGTAGACATATACAGTTAGGGTCCTGAGAAGATTTTTGCCTGATACATTAAAAATAAATAAGAGTACAGTTCATGCTTTGAGCTAACTGCCCACATCTACCAATTTGTCCTCTTGCAGGACTTAATTTGGTATCATAATGGGTCTATTATAGATGCTCATCAAATATGTTTGATTTTTTAACAAAAAGTTCATGTACAAAATTGAGAGCACTTACTTGATACAAAGTATGACTTTATAATATTGGCTATATGCTCATCAGATTAAATAGATAATATACGTTCTGACTATCTGCTAAAATAGAATAGTATATTTCTCAACTTACCTTTAATGGAATCATTCTCAGCTCTCATTATGTCAATGAGTGAACTCTCCAGGGAGTGCATATCGAATGTCCTAGGGCGGTCCTGTAAGTCCAAACACCAAAAACCACTTTTTAAAACAGCATTTACATGTAAAAGAGGAAAACAAGTTGCACTTCATGGGACAGAGATCAAAAAACAGCAAAAGTACTCCCTTTCCATATCAGGTAGTTATTACTTCATGTTATTACTTATCCTTTCAAAACATCAAAAACCACAAAGTACATAGAGCTAAGTAGAAAGTAATTTTTGTTTTTAACAACGTATTCCAACAAAGCACCATTTTTATTAATAAAGCATAAACCATTAAAACTAATCTCCATATCAGTTAAGAACATTAAATAAAATATAAATAAGTCTATCTTTTCTACCACTTGAGACTCTAAAATGCGGCAAAGCTTTCTAACTTGTTTCAAGACTTACTTCTAAACTGGCATCTCTGTGTGCTCTCAGAATAGATATATTTTCTTATAAGCCAAGGTTTGCTAATAGTCATCAAATATCTGTTAGATGATATTCCAAAACAATATTACTGGTTAATCATGAAAAAGACATTATACCCTCAATGAAAGAAAAGAAAAATACTTGATTTATCTCTTTCTATATTACCAAGGCTGTCCTTGAATTCTAATGATTTACATTCTCTAAAGATTTTTTTAAAACTAACGACTCATTCAGAATATAGACAATATCCCCAAATACACACACACACACACACACACACAATACATTTTTTAAAAAGATATAATCACCCCTCCCCCAACATAAAACTCAATCTGGAATGATGGGTTACAGGGACAGCTCTCATTACTTTCACAAAGCTTCCTCCAAAGAGGAAACTATGAGGAGCTGTGGAAGCAGGTTCCATCTCTCCCTGCCCCCTAGGCACAAGGTAGGAGGTCCCCAAAAAACCCAGCCCTTACCCTGATAAGTAAAGAATAAAAGACACAGATAAGAGTCAGCATCTGGATGAGAAAACCAAAGGCCATCCCAATCTTATTTACCATGTCAACTTGGAAGAAAGGTGTAGGGTAAGTTGTTCTCTGAAACCCTGGCTCAACCTGGCGCATTTTAAGAATGGGTGGGGACTCCTAAATATATAGCAAATATCCTACTGCTCTGGGAGTCCTCAGGATGAAAACAACTACAGATAACTCAAATTAAAGCCTGGCTTGCTAAGTTAAATGCAGGAGAGGAAACCTTTTCATATTAAACTCTGAGAGGAAGCAGCGATCCATGCTTCTGATCCACCCCCTACACACAGAATATTAATGGGCTTCCAAAGCAGACAGACAGGCAGGTTCCATAAAACTCTCTCTTCACTTCTGCTTTCTCTTCCATTACTTTTCTTGCTTATTTCTTTTCTTTCTTTATTTTTGGCGCTAGGGAGTGAACTCAGGGATTTGGGTATTCTAAGCACACACTCTAGTACTGAGCTACAGTCCCAATATTATTTTTTCTTTTTCTTTCTTTCTTTCTTTTTTTTTTTTTTTTGTTACTGGAGATTGAACTCAAGGTCACTTTACCACTGAGCTATCATCAGCCCTTTTAATTTTTTTATTCTGAGACCAAGTCTGGCCTCAAACTTGCAATCCTCCTGCCACAGCCTCCCAGCCCAATATTACTTTATAACTCAAAACTTTAGCTTCTTAAAAAATTCACCTCCAGGGCTGTGGCTGTAGCTCAGTGATAAAGCACTTTCCTAGCATAGGTGAGGCCCTGGGTTCGATCCTCAGCACCTCATAAAAATAAAGATACTGTGTGTCCATCTACAACTAAAAAAATATTAAAAAACAAAATTCACCTCATAATTTTATTGTTTGTTTGCTTAATTGTTGGGATCTCCCTTTTCTATTTTCTGAGCTAACTTCTAGAACCTCTAACTGATAGCAACTATCCTTCACAAGAGAGCATTTTTGATCAAGCTGACATTTCTCCCTTGTGCTGCTCTAATACCACGCCCTGTAGGATTATCATGCTTCCCTGAAGCAGGGCCACTCCTCACCCTGCCCCACCGTGTAGACAGACACTCAGCAGTGTTTACCAGATGGACTGCTCTGTAATGCAAACTGTTCATCCCTGTGATTTGAGGCATCTGAACACAATTCTATTCAGATATAAACAATATTAGAGGAGAATGATGCAGGTTCCTCTGTGGGGGAGAGACCGGGGACTTAACACAAGGCTCTGCTCTGAGAGTGGTGGCCACAGCCCAGAACCTCCTCCCCACTTCTCCTCCCGAGTCTTTTCTCACCAGCTTCTCCTCAGCAAGATTCACAGAGCAGCAGGAGGCCAGAATCAGAACTTCTGAAGGTCAGTATTCCTAAGAGTATTCGTACTGCATGTCAAGCACTTAATCACTGTATTTTCTCTGAGCAGAGAAGTGCATAAGAAGGTCATGAAGCTCCACCAGCCGTCCGGCTGTAGCTGGACTGGCCCTCCTCTCGGCAGTCTAGAACCAGGTCATAACTGGGCCTTCCCTACAACCCATCTTCCCCACACGCCCATACTGAAGGCCAGACTTCTGGGTTACTGTTCACCTGACTGTCCTCTGACTGCGAGGTTCCCAAAGGCAGCAGCTGCATCCTACTTGAAATGTTCCCAGGGAGTCCGCCTCAAATGGGCGCCTATATGCCAAGACAGTCATCCCGTCAGTCCCTGGTACTGGCAGGGGTCTGAGGTGAGGAGCTCCCTGGAGAACAACTTTTGTCTATGTGTGCCATGGCACAAAACAGGTGAAGAAGCACTGTCCCACATTCTGTACCACCATGTCCCAAGCACATTCTATTAGTGCACAAATGTTGCAACATCAAGGAATGGATGAATTCCTTCAAGTCATTTTTAATGTTTAAATATTTCTTCTTTCCTACTTCCTTATCTTAAGGTTTGTTTGTAGATTTCCCCTTTCCCACTATAGAGCTGTATGTTTTCTTTTGCCAAAATAAATAATGGAGTAGGAGGAAGAACTCGGCCTATTATTCTTTTTCAGGCAAATAAAGCAGTAAGCGACCTTGTGAATTTCCGGAACTTGCATTCTGACAATCACTGATGAAGAACGCCAAAGAGAAACAGTTGAAAAAGAATAGAACACAGAGAGGTTTTTGCTTAGTTTCTTTCATAAGAGCTCTTCTCATTAAGTCAAGAAGCCCTGTGAGTTTCTACATGGAGTACTAGAACTTAGCAAATAATTTTACAGCATCCTCTGCCCCAAGTACACTGCCTGGAACATAAATTTTTGCTAAACTTAATAACTGATCATTTCTAAATGGTACAGTACATTAGAGCTAAAATTCTAATGAAAAGTTTAAATTTCAGTAGTATTTTGTGTGATTGAAAAAAACAAATCCTTTACCCCTTTTCCTTTAAATTTTATGATTTAGTTGAGGGGTGACAAGTAAATAATATTATACAAACTCTGATCAATTGCAATGCATCAAGGATTCTCAGACTCTATGTGAACTTGGAAGGACACTGCGCCTCAACAGATTGCTGGTGATTATATTAAACTCAAAGTATAAAGCCCAGTGGAACAAGCACCACATTCTTGCCAATCCTAGTCTAATATGTATTCTTCTCCACAACCCAACCATATTAGGAATTATACTTATTATAAACTACATTTGAATAGTAATAACATTACTTTTTTTTTTTTTTTGGCAATACCAGGAATAAAACCTAAGGCCTCCCATGTTAAGCAAGCATTCTACCACTGACACTGAGCTACCTCCCAAGCCCCTTTTTAAAAAATGTTTATTTTGAGACAGGGTCTCACTAAGTTGCTACAACTTCAACTTGGGATCCAACTTGAAATCCTCCTGCCTCAGCCTCCCAAGTAGCCCAGATTACAGGCCAGTACCACCATACCCAACGAAATTTTACTTCATATGATGCTTTGGTAATTTAAAGTTCAAAAACCACACACTATTTCAAGTAAATATTTTGCTCTCAGAGAGGGTCCAAAGTTTATCATTCTTATGCTACTCAGCTGATTTTCTTCAATTTTTAAATACAATAATTTTAAAAACTTAAACTGGAAGTGTCTGTGCCATTAGGAAGCTGGCAGAGGAAGAGAAACACACAGAAACCCAACATATAAGCACACAAAACAATACCAGCTTTCCTGCCCAACAGCCAGGTTCAATCGAGGGAGTAAGAGTGCTTTCAGTTCCTAACTCCATCCTCAATTTTGCCCCTTCTGATTACTAACTGAACCAAACATAATTACTGACCTATTTTCTAGGATCCATTTCCCAGAAAGTAAACTGTCAAAAAAAAAAAAATTCCTTAAGTGACAGCTCTTCTTCACTGAACTTGAGCTGATGACCAAAATATGAAGATCAGCATAAATCCATGTAATGAGTATCGGACACAGGAAACCTCAGCTCTGTGGGGGCATATCCATTCTCCAGAGCTCCCTCCTGGCCCATGAAAGGAAATGGTTTGATTAGCTCTCTAATTTCTCCTTCCCAGCTCCAACGTCTTTTTGGTTTTGGTTTTTGGTTTTGTTTCAGTTTGGGCAGTGCTGGGGTGGAACCCAGGGCTCTATGGAGGCTGCACAAGTGCTCCACCGTGGAGCCACACCCCTGCCCGTCTTTGTATTTTAGTTTTCCAAAATGGACTCTTCCAAAATGTACATTTTATAAATTGTAATGAAAATATGGCAGGAACCAGAAATCTGGATAAAACGATGAATTCAAGTTCACCACATTTTGTCCATGAAAAAGCAAAGGGCCAAAGGTAGGTCAGTAAGAAAATGAACCTCTAGAGTTTTGTTTCCTTAGTTTTGGGGATCAAACCCAGGAATTCGCAGGTGTTCAGTACATGTTCTAACCACTGAGGTATACTCCCAGACCCCCTTAGAGTCTTAACAGTCAATTCACTTTCATTACACTATACACAATGCAAAATAACAAGTTTCTTTAAACAGAAATTACTGAAACAATTTGTTGGGAGAAAAGGAAGTAAAGCGTCCTGATTTCAGATAAAAGATTAAAGAATCTCTTACAAACAAAAAAACACCAACAACTTTATTTGCTTCGACTCAC